CATGACTCCAGCCCACCTCCTCTTGGAAGCCTTCTGGGTGTTCCCATTCCCCTCCCCCACAGGCCCCTTCTGCCTGTGGTCCAGAGCTATTGCATGTGACAGCCAGGCCTGCTGTTCCCCCTCATGGGAAGGGAGTGGGGGGGGGGGGGCTGCATGGCAGAGCCTGAGCCAGAGACTGGATTCTCCAGGGATCTGAGAACCATGCACCCCCACCTCATACACACCCATTGAAAGAATAACCCCCGTCCCCTATGCCCTGGCTGGTTTGGCTCAGTGGATAGAGCGTTGGCCTGAGAACTGAAGGGGTCCCAGGTTCAATTCTGGTCAAGGGCACATTCCCAAGGGCACAATCCCCAGTAGGGGGCGTGCAGGAGGCAACCGATCAGTGATTCTTCTCTTGATGTTTCTAACTCTCTCTCCCTCTCCCTTCCTCTCTGAAATCAATAAAAATATTTTTTTTTTAAAAAAAAGAAAGAGTAACTAACCCCACCCCACACACAAAAAAAATTGGAAATCAAGAAGGGCTCCTGAGAATCATCTCAGACTCTGTTCAGCCAAGTCCCAGGCACACAGCAAACACCCAATAACTGCTGGAGGTGTGACCAGAGGGTAGACCCAGGAGGGGTGGCAGGTGCTCTGGTCCAGTCCCTCCTGAGATGGCCACAAACACCTTCACCTGGCAGAGCTGGGTAGTTTTCTCATCTGTTATTTGATTGGTTTCCCCCATCCAAAGCTCTTTAGTGTTTGGGGGCGGTGGGGGGTTGGGGGGTGGTGTATAGACTATGCACACTCCCAAAAGTGGCGGCAGGACATCTGTGCACAGGGAGCTGAGTTGCCCTCTCCTGGTTCAGGCAGAGCTGTTGCCTAACCTTCTGGGGCATCACACACCTGCTCCCCATAACCCCAGGTGTTCCTTTAGCCATGCAGACACCAGCACTCACATTTTCAAGGAGCAGGAAGCCAGCAGCAAGGGGTTATAGGATCAGGAAGTCAAGAGACCCTAAGAGACTGGGTTTAGTCTGAATCCCTGATTTGTACCCTGGAGCTTCCTTTCTACCCCAACTTCCTCATTTTAAAAGGTGGGGTCCTTGGTGTTTCCTGGGTTCCTGCCCATCTCTTCCATTCTGTGCCTTGCTCCCCCTGGGGAGGGCACCGCAGGTGGCTGCGGTCAGAGACTACTCAGCCTGTCCCAGAAGGTGGGGGTCTGTGTCGTGTGGGAGGAGGTAGGAACTGGCTGAGGAAACTGAGCCATTCTCTGAGGCTCTCACTAGTTTGGTATCAGATCCGAGACACCAGCCAAATGGTGCCATTGGTCATCTGAAGGCGCAGCTTGGGGACAACCCCTTGGGAACGTGCCCAGAGGGAGAGGAGGGCACAGGGGGTGGGAGGATTTGGAGAAGTTGTCCATCTCAGCTGGTCCGCCACAGCCAGAGTCTGGTCTGACCTGTTACTTCAAGTGCTAGCCCCAATGTGGACTCTCTGACCTCTCCCCTCTATGGCCTCTGTCTCCTCAAGGCAGGGCAGGGCAAACAAGGGGCTTCCATTTCCTCCTCCTCCTAGATAGAGAGCCCCAAGTGATGATTGTCACCACAGTCATTGCTGCTGGCCAGGCTCTCCTGCAGCACCTCCTGGTGCATCCACCCATGAGGAGGCCTCGTTATTCCAGCTTTATTGACTTAAAGGTCAAGGTGGGAGCAGCTGACAGCTGGGATGAGGGGTTGCTGGGGTCCAAGCCAGGGCCTGGGCCAGAAGGAGGAGATCTGCCCTTGGACTCAGAGTCCTTCCAGCCCCTGGTCTGAAAGACAAGGCTTATATTCACTCACCCAGTGACAGAAGCCATTTGGAAATTGCAGAGGTCACAACATGAACTCGTTCTCAGGTCCTAGAAACAAACTAGCCTTTGCATTGGGTGGGGTCACTTAAGCACCCCTGGAGGAAGGGAGTCTGCAGCCAGGATCCTTTGGTTTCCACAGCCTTCCAGAAGGTCAGGAGGTTGCAGCTTCCCTGGGGAAACCCAGCCAGCCAGGAAGAGGACAGCCTGGCCCCCTTCATGTTGGAAAGATTTCAAGAAGGAAGGACCCAGGCCTAGAACTGCTAACTGAGCAGTGAAGGGAGATTTCACCGGAGGGGAGAAGGAAATAGCAAAAAAACAAACAAACAAAAAATCAAACCCTGGGAAAAGGGAAGTGGCTGATAGAAAGGCACGTGTGGATGAATTTTAATGCAATCAGAAAGCTGTCATGATGATAATAAAGGAATACATTCAGACACCAGGAGAGAAGGCAGGGAGGTGTGGTCCCACATTTAAATCAGGTGCAGGCTAGGAGGGCCTTCTCTTCACCCCCCTTTTTCCTTCCCAGGGAATTTCTAAGCAGGATGGCCTGGTATTAGCAGGGGGTGGTTTTCACTTCTTTATCTTTCTGAAAATCCTGTTAATGGGGAACCTTTAGAAGGCGTTGGCAGTGGGATGGGGTGCACTATCTGGGCCTGGAAGGGAGTTTCAGTTACTCCAAGAGAGGCTTTAAAAGCTCCCAGCTCACCTCAGGTCAAGTGCTGCGCTTCTGGGAGTTAGACATGAGCCCTCCCACCTCCTCTCCTCTGCCCCTCCCTCTCCTCCTGCAGGTCTCTCCTCTCTGCTGTCTATTTCTGATTCCTTTTACTCTGTCCATCTTCACCGTTTTCCCTCCCTCTCTGCTCCTAACCCCATCTCCTGCCATCCCTCCTCAGCCTCGCCCCTTTTTACTGTCTCTTTCCCTTTCTCTTGGTTTCCCAGTCTTTGCCCCCCAGCCCAGAGCTGGAGTTGGTGAGCCCTGGAGATAAGACAGGGGCATGCCCAGCCCTGCCAAGGCCCAGAAGCCTGGTTGAGTGGGCAGGCTGGGGCAGTGGGCAGGGTGGGGCCTCCAGGCCCCCAGTTTTGGCTAAAGCCCTCCCGTGGTGGAGGTCCAGGCTAGTGCGCCCTAACCCAGAACTAGTAACAGGAACTGATGCCTGCAGGGTGTGGAAGGAGTTGGAACCCAGGGCCACCTCATCATGATGACATGCCCAGCGCTGGGTGCTCTGGGTGAGGCGGACCAGCAGGGCAGCGGTTAGGGCTTGCTGAAGAGGAGGAGTCTGGGGTGGCTTGTGAAGGAGAGCTGGGGCCCGGAGGTTTCCTGCTTTGCTCGAGACACCAGGGCAGCCCTCAGCTCTATGTGAACTCTCCTGGCTGTGGGTGAGGGGGCTCTCTGGGGCAGGAGGTACCCACTGCCCTGGATACAGAGGGACATGGTCCCAGAGTGCCCCCGCCTTCCAAGAAAACCATCAACACATGCCCCATTGCAGCTTTGGGGGTGGGGGATGCATTTCTGCAGCCTTAGCTGCCTGTGCCCATGTGCCAGTCACTCAGCCGTCTACAGACATCTAGTGAGTGCCTGCTGAGTGCTGCCGCCACAGGGCCCCTGTTCCAGCTACTGAGGCTGCATAACAATGTAGCCCAGAGTGAGGGGTATGATACAACCGTTTATTATGCTCTCGGATTCGGTGGGTCAGGAGCTCAGACGGAGCACAGCATGGAAGGCCTGTCTCTGCTCTAGGATGTCTGGGCTTCTGCTGGAAAACTCAAAGGCTGGGCCAGGAGTCATCCGGGGACTCATTCACTTCAAAGTCTGGTGGTTGGTGTTGGCTGTCAGCTGGGGCCTCGGTTCCTTTCTGTGTGCACCCACCGTGTGGGCCCCTGGGGTGTTCGTCACAGCGTGGTGTCTGGCTGCTAGAGGGCAAGCGTCCCCCAAAGAGAGATCTGAGTGGAAACTGATCCCTTTTATGACGTAGCCTTGGAAGTCAGCGGGCTTCACTTCTGCTGTTCTTGCTTGGTTAGAGCGGTCACAAGCCCCACCCACATTCAAGGGAAGGGGACATGGACCCGGGCCTCTCAGTGGGAGGTGTGACGTCATGTTGAAACAAGAACGTGAAGGGTGGGAAATCTTTTTGAAGTCATGGTGATCTCTGTCAGCCTAAACACAGAGCTGAATTGTGTCAACAAACCACTTGGTACTCAACACAAGTGTGGGGAAGCTGTTGGGGAACCCAGTCTTCAGGCTCTCCAAAAGTGCCCAGGGCTGAATTTTGCAGCATGAACAAATAGGAAGGCCTGAACCAAGGAGGTGAAAACATGTGAGATAGAAAGGAGACGTGTCCCATGGAATGGCATAGAGCATTCACTCATTCCAGGACTTTATCCCCAGGGCCTACTATGTGCCAGATGCTGCTGCTCCAGGAGAGGCCCAGTCTCTTCCCCAGGAACATAGGAAGGGTGAGGGGGGAGGAGGGGCACTGGCAGGGAGCTAGACAGAAACCAACTACACAGGCAAAGCATGAAGTAATTATCTTTCAAAAATCAGGCCATGAGAGTGAGGGGCTGAAACAGAGAATAAAGGAGAGGTGGAAGGGGGGGCCTTGATGAGGAAGCAATAGTTAAACTGAGACCTAGGAGAAGAGAAGGAATCAGCCTTGTGATGCGGAGGGCACCCCAGGCAGAGGGACCAGCACATGCAAAGGCCCTGTGGCAGACTTGCTTGCTGTGAGTTAATTTTGGCAGCTGTGAGTGAAGGTAGATGAGGAAGAGTGTGTCTGAGACGAGGAAAGAAGGGACCTCAGGACTGCATGAATGACCCCGTGCCTAGGTGAGTGGCCAGGCCCATGGCCTTGCTCCCTCGTTGTGCGACAGGAGCGGGCAGAGTCGCTGCAATCCAGCTCCCCCTTCACCCAACCCTTTCCGCTGGCTTGGCCCTCCCTCTACCTCTAGCCCCTACCCGCGTCGTCCCTGCCCCACTAGCTAAGCCCCACCCCCAACCACGCCCTCTCCCTCCTACCCTCCTGCCCCTCGGGTCTGAGCCCCGCCTCGCTTTGCCCAGCTTCTCCCTCCCCGGAAACCCTTCTCCTCCCGCCGTGCCCGGTTCCCCCCGGCTCTCCCCCGCGCCGCCCGGCCCCCCGGCCCCGGTAAGCATCTCCTAATTTTGTTCCAGAAGATAGAAAACTCTTCGTGGGCATGCTCAACAAGCAGCAGTCTGAGGACGACGTGCGCCGCCTCTTCGAGGCCTTCGGCAACATCGAAGAGTGCACCATCCTGCGCGGGCCCGACGGCAACAGCAAGGGTGAGCCGGGCGGGCGGGGGCATGGGCGCGGCCGCGTTCCGAGCCGCCGGAGCGGGCCAGGGTCGGCGGCCAGCGAGGGCTGCTTGGAAGGGACGGGGCGGTGGAACGAGGTCTCTCTCTGTCTCTGCTTCTCGGTGGCTCCCCTTTCTTCTCGGTCTTTCTCTCTCGTCCCGCCTCTCCGCCCTCGCCCTGGCCTCCCTCTGGGCCCTGGGCCCGGGGCCCTGGCTCAGCACCGCCTGTCCCCCCAGGGTGCGCCTTTGTGAAGTACTCTTCCCACGCCGAGGCGCAAGCCGCCATCAACGCGCTGCATGGCAGCCAGACCATGCCGGTGAGTTCGGCCACCCCTGGGTGGGGCTGGAACGCGGGCAGCGGCCAGGTGACACCCCTGCGCATCCCAGAGCGCCCGCAGGGCCCTGCCCACCCTTGCAGGGTCCCTACCATGCAAAACCCTGGCTGCGCTGCTCACTGCCTCCGCATGAGACAGGAAGGCATTACCACTATCCCATATCTCAGACAGGGACACTGAGGCCAGACACGTAAGGAACTGGCCCGCAGTCCAGTTAAGACCCCAGACCCCTGGGCGAGCGCCGTCCCGCAGCCCCCAGAAGGGCCTCCCCAGAGGAGAGGGAGGGCCTAGGCCAGGGGCACGGACAGCTGGACAGCTGGACAGCTGGGAGCGGAGGGCAGGTGGGCCTCACGTGCAGTCCCGGCCACAGGGAGCCTCGTCCAGTCTGGTGGTCAAGTTCGCCGACACTGACAAGGAGCGCACGATGCGGCGAATGCAGCAGATGGCTGGCCAGATGGGCATGTTCAACCCCATGGCCATCCCGTTCGGGGCCTACGGCGCCTACGCACAGGCAGTAAGTGGGGGCGCAGACGGGGTGGGGGGTGTATGGGCAGGGGTTCTCGGCTAACTCTGCTCAGAACCCCAGAGCAGGGACACCTGTCTTTGCCAGGGGAGCCCTGTGTTTCTGGACTAGAAAACACTGTCCCCGCCCTGGGGAGTGAGGAGTGGTCGGGAATGAACCCGGGGGTAGAGGCCAGAGAGGGCTGAGGGAAGTGTGGTTCAGTCCAGGGTGGCTGCCAGGAGTGGTGGTCTGCTGCCCTGGTTCTTAAGGGGAGGAGCTGGAGAGGTGGCTTCTAGGCAGGGCAGCAAGGTGGGCTATCCTGAACGCTCCCCTGCTAGTCAAGCTCTAGGAAGCACCAATGGAAGTGGGGAGAGAGGTTGAGGTGTTTGGGTGTCACCACCCACCCCTGCCCCCATTCATGGAAGGGTGTGCTCCAGCCTCTGGTCACTTCTGGCAGGGGTCCTGTGTGGCTCCTCAGAGCCCATCACACCAATGCTTCCACTGCAGTCTCCCTCTTCCCCCAACCCCGCGCCCGCCCCCCCCCCCAACCCCCCCACCGCCAGCCCCTGGCTCGCCAACTTCTTCCTTCCACCTTGGGGCCTTCTTAGCCAGCTTCTCCCCTAAGCTGCCTCCCATATTTGTAGCCACAACCCCCACTGGTGCCATCCACTCCCATGGCATCGGTGCCCATGCAGGCCTCATCCACTTGGCAGTTTGTCTCAAAAATGTTCTAATCTCAGGGGAATCAAGGGAAGGCCAGATGTGGGCCCCATGAAGACTTTGGAATAGTTAGCTCTTTGGGAGCGGTTTCTAATAGCCTTTGAGAGCTAGGGCAGCAATGGGGGAGACATCGGGGTTCTCTGGGGGGTGGGGAGCTGTGTCTGAGCTCCCTGGGGTTCAGGGCCTAGGAGGCTGGTGTCCAGGAGCTGAGCCCCCTGGTGGGAGGGTTGCCCCCCTGGAAGCGCATGATATTTTTTCCACTCCTTCTGCCCCAGCTGATGCAGCAGCAAGCGGCACTAATGGCATCAGTCGCGCAGGGCGGCTACCTGAACCCCATGGCTGCCTTCGCCGCCGCCCAGATGCAGCAGATGGCGGCCCTCAACATGAACGGCTTGGCAGCCGCACCCATGACCCCAACCTCAGGTGAGCCAGCAGGTACCAACACAGGACACAGCTGAACCCAGGTCCAGACTTTTTGTTTGGCCAATTTTGGTTACATTGGACCACCTTGTGGCAAACAGCACATGGCATCGGTCCCCATGCAGGCCTCATCTACCAGCAGTTTGTCTCAAAATGTTCTAATCTCAGGGGAAACAAGGGAAGATGGGATGTGGGCCCCATGAAGTCCTGTTATAGTTTCAGGGGGGTGGGAATTTCACTCATGATGTTTTTGAAAGAAATTGACATGAACCCATCTGCCCTTGAGGTCTGAGGGGAGAAGAGCCCTGCCCCTTCTGTGGCCTTGTTTGGTCCCTCACCCAAGCATAGAAGGAGCTGATTTTTAAATGTCCCTTTAACCCAACATAGACTCACTGGCTTTTTCCAAGAGAACTACACAACACGCAAGAGAGAACCGCAGAGTCACTAACGGACAGGGGGGTGGGAAACAGCCCTGCTCACAAAGTGTGTTTTTAATTGGATCCTGGTTAGTATCCAGTTCAGTGATTCTCAACTGGGGCAATAATTTCATGCCTACTCTCTCCCCACCCCAAGGATATCTGGCAATGTCCTGAGACCCTATTGGTTGTTACAACTTGGGGAGGGGAGTGAACTCTGATGTATTAGGTAGAAGCCAGGGATGCTGCTAAACATCCAACAATGCACAAGACAGCCCCATGACAAGGAAATGTCTGACCACAAATGTCAATAGTGTCAACTTTGAGAAAACCTTGTCTAGTCCCGAGGGCTGGCCCAACAGCCTGGGCTTTCATTCACCAAGCTTCCTCGCTCTCCACACCCAGCTCATAGCAACAGCCTTCCTTACACCCCCAAGCGATTCCTTTCGCAGATAAAGTCCATTAAAGACTGTGCCGTCTCTAGGCCCAACTTGAGTACTACCTCATAGCTCTGATCCCCAGTTTAGGGATACTCCTGGACCCAGGCCAGCCTCATGTCCTAGTCCACAGAGAGATCCTGCTTTCTACATGAAGGGAAAGGCCCTTTCCAGCTTTGAGGCCTTAGTACAATCACCAAGCCAGCCACCCCTTGGGTTCCACCCACCTGGCATCGAGAGGGCACAGTGTATTGTCATCTGACCCTAACTTTACTCTCCCCACTGTGAGCATAACCATAATCTCAACAGGAGGAGGCCAAGGTGTCTACTGTGTATAAATAGGGCTGAGTCTGGACTCTGCAAAGTCCTCTCTCCCTCATTGGAGGGGAGCTCCAGAATTAGGACTTCCTCCACCCACGTAGCAAAACTTCTTCCTGGGGAGGCAGATCAGCCCCTCTGTGATCCAGGCAAGAGAGCAGAGCCAGCGACCTAGAGGCCCGTTGATGGTTAAACAGGGACTAGCCCATCCTGACTTAGCTGGGGTGAGCAAGAATCACTGGAAAGGACTAAGGGAAGACCAAGTGTGGTCAAATTCAAAGGCACTGAGAATAGTCTATGTGCTGTAGTTCCAAGGTGGAGTGGTCAGTGGTCAGGGAAGTCTTCATGGGGTAGGTGGGATCTGGACTCTGCCTTGAAGGGTGGACACAGATGGGGTGAGTGGAACCACTCCATGCATGGAGGTGATCCAAGATGTGATTGAGTCGGTGTGTGAATTCCAAGTGTACACCCAGGCCCTTGGAGCCAGGAGGTGGAGCTCCATGGGTTGGCCTTTGCTCACCTTTGTTCTTCTTGCCTCCCCTCCTCCTCCACCCTTCCCCATCTCTGAAACCAGGTGGCAGCACCCCTCCGGGCATCACTGCACCAGCCGTGCCTAGCATCCCGTCCCCCATTGGGGTGAACGGCTTCACTGGCCTCCCCCCACAGGCCAATGGGCAACCTGCTGCAGAAGCTGTGTTTGCCAATGGCATCCACCCCTACCCAGGTAAGCACATCTGGCAGCCCTTCCTTACCCGCGCAGCACACCCCTCATCCATTCTGCCGCTGCCCTTGCTGTTACAACCGGGAATGTGTGGCTCCTGCCCTCCGTCCATTCCTTGGTGGAACCCCAAATGTGATCAGGGAGATCAGGGAACCTCTGGTGGGAGAAATCAAGTTCCCATCCTTAGGGAGGTGTCTGTCTGGTAGGTGAGAAAGAAGGCATTCCTGGGGCTCATGCAGGGAGAAAAGAGAAGCGATGTAGTAATTGTACAACCAGAGGCTAGTAACTGCAAATTAATTGAGAGTGAATTTGACCTATAAGAAGTCATGGGACAGAAGCTAAAATAATAAGTATACTTAGTGTTAAGTAGGAAAAGACTCTTTGGGGAAGGAAGGGGAAATATGTAGATTGACATTCTGGCGGGAACATACTGGAGTACACACAACCCCTATCAGCACACCGCACAGAGGGTCAGGACCTGGGACAGCTCCCTGGTCCTGCTTTGATTCATTCTGACACACAAGATCCGGGAGGCCAGGGCGTGATTAACTCTGTTCCTCTCAAACTTAGCAGCTCTTTCATGGTGGGTCTGTCCAGTTGACTTAAGCAGCTCCCATCTCTGGCCTTGAGGATGGACAGAGCAGGAGAGCTGAGCCCAAAGCCCTACGGTGGGCTAGCAAGGGACAATGTCTCAGAGATGCGGGGAGTGCTGTCCTCCTTCCTAGAGGGCAGATGACAAAGTTGCAGAGTCCCCATGAGTACAAGTAAGTGCCCAGTCTGTGCTGGGTGGAAGGGGACCCCCAGAAGATGGGCAGGATGGGGGGCCTCTCCCCTGGGAGGTCAAAGTCCAGTCAGGAACACAATATACATCGACAGAATGTTGAAAGAATAAGCAGAATGGAGTCTGATCAAGAGTGAATGTTTCCATTGTGAGGCGCTAAAGGTTTCAAAGGAAGGGAGGGTTCTATAGGCTGAAGAAGCCCAGCAGAGCTGCCTTACAGGAGGCTCAGACGGACGTTGACAATGGGTAGGAACTGGAGAGGAGGGGACGGACAAACCAGGGGCACATCCTAGGGAGCGGCTGTCCTGGAGGCCCAGCGGGAGGAGGGCCTCCAGGAGGGGCCAGGGATGGTGAGGTTGGCCCAACCAGGGCAGAGGAGGTCAGCTTGAGGTGGGTCAGCCGTGGGCGGCAGAGTAACGCTGCCCACTCTGGTTGTCCATCAGAATCCACTGTGTGGCTTTGTAAAACCAGAGAAGCCTGGAGGTTGTGATTTCAGTGTCTGCTAATGATTTCAGGAGTGAGGCCCAGACCCCCATCGGCAGAGGGCAAGGTCCCTGTGCCAGAGAAAACCAGAGGAGACTGTGCTGACTTTGAACTTGGAGTTGTGCTTGTCTTGTCTTAGTGTTCGCCCCTCAACTTACCTCTCAGTGCACAGAGAGGAGGCCGGAGAAGCCTAGAGAGAGAAGCGGCAGGGCCCTGGGTCTGGAGTTGTTTCAGGATGAAGAGTCCAGGCTGGCAAGGGAGGCAGGGCAGGGGCTGGGCAGCTGGAGGTGGGAGTGGGCCCACCAATCTCAGGTTCCTGGGCTCCTCCTGCCTCAGGCTCATGGGCTGGGAGATACAGTCCCCGCACATCTGGGTGGTTTCATTCCCCCGCCTCCGTGCCCACAAGCCCATCTGGAGCTCTGGATTTTGACAAACCTGTTCTTTCCCCACCCCCACCAGCATCTGTGAGCTATTTCCCCCGTGGACTTTGGAACTGTTTCTCTCCCCCATTTGTAACAATCTGCCATATCCCATAAACAATTCCCTGCCGGAGCAGGAGGGAGGGGTGGAGGGAAGGAAAGGAGAAAAGTAGTACATTAAAAAAATTAATTTACCATCTTTAAATGCGGAGTTTGGAGCCGCTGTAATGAGCGAGATCCTTCAAAATGTTCACTCTTTGGCAGTTACTAATGAGGTCATTAAGCAGAGAAGTAGAGAGGGTCTCAGAAATGCCTTCCTCCACTTCCTAGCCCCAGGTAGCTTCCCCGCTCTCCCCTCTCTCTCATCGAGATCATGTTGAAAGCACATAGTGTGCCCTTTACTGCCACATAACACCCCTGTAGGGGTGTCTCTATAAATGTTAAGGACGATTCCTTCTTTCCTATGTCGCAGTATATGCTGAGCACTTGCTATGAACCTAGCGCTGTGCGTGTGTGAGGGTGTGCGTGTGTGAGGGGGAAGGGGGGGCGTGGCTGTCATGTGAGTTGTGCAGGTTTTATGTTACGCAGGGCACTACACTGTGTGCCAGAGATAGAGATGACTCTTTAATTTGCATAAAGGCAGGATGTGGTTGAGGGGCTGGGGAGACCAAGAGCCGAGGTGGGTTTCCCTCCAGAGAACTGAGGCAGAGTCAGCGAGAGGGAGCAGCAGGGAGGAGCAGACACCCGCAAGCACCACCACTACCACCTCAGCACTGGCAGCTCCTGGCTCCAGGCCCCACGAGCAGGGGGAAGAGAGGGACAGGGCTAGGATCCGACTTCAGCCACCCCTCTGAGCAGCCCTGGCCCAGCTCCCCTGCTGCAGCCTGCAGTCTTTAAGCATCTCTGCCCCATGATTTCCCTGGCTGCCCGGAGGTCCAGGTGCTATTGTTGGAGTGGGATGTTACTGAAGCTCAGAAACAGGAGCTCAGGAAGGAAGTGGGGAATTCTTCCTGGTCTACAAGGCCCCTAAGTCTGGCACTGCCAGTTAGCTTGGTGACCAAGGTCACCAGGCAGGTAAGTCCCGATGGTTTTCTTTCTGCCTCCCTGTGTTACCCAGTTTTCTCTGAACATGCTGCAGCTAGATCTGTCCCCACCCACCTCTCCAGGCCTCTGAGGCCAGCCTACTCCCACTAGCCATCACCACCAAAGGCAGTGTCCACTGTTGGCCTTGCACTAGGCTTTGGCCCACAGCCTCCAAGACCCAGCAGAGGCAACAGAAGTGGACCAAGCCTTCCGCAGCCCAGCTGCCCTCAGTTCTTGCCCAAGTGTCAGCATGAGGGCCCTCTTCTCGTACCGGGCAGTAGACATCCAAGAGTCACAAATTCGGACTGGAGGAAGGTCCTTGGCCTGCTGGTTCCTCAGTGTCTGTGAGCACTACTCCTCTCCCAGCCCACAGGCAGGCCTCATCTGTGTGGCCAGTCCTGCCTGGGGTGTCTTAGCCACGGCCTTGGGATGGAAGCCTTGTGCCTTGTGCCAACTCCCTAGACTACAGGAGAGGGTCCCTTTGCCTGAGCAGCCATGGGTGGCCCAGGAGGACAGAGTGGCAGGGTGAGGCCCCCCTGTGCCTTTCTTACACCAGCTGGGTTCTGCCCCCGACTTATGCTAAGGACAGTGAGGATGAGACCAGCCTCCTGACAGCCTCTCGCCCACTTTCCACAGCCCTTCTCCTGGGCCAGGTCCCTCATGTGTCCCCACCAAGCCCCTCATGGCCAAGCTTCTGGCATCTTCTTCCCAGCCCTTCCCAGCCTTCTGCATAAAGCATCTGTCTCCCCCCCCCACCCCAGGCCAGCTGTAGGCTGCATCCCCCAGCCAGGGGGGCAACCTCCATCCTACTAAGGGCCCTGGACTGGAGAAGGGGGAACCCCAGCAAGGCAGGCACTCAGATGACCTGCCCCAGGGCAGACACCACAGTGCTTGGGAAGGGCAATGCAGCCACAGTGCCATCACCATGGGCGTGGTGGGGGAGGGGCTGGCTTTGGGGGGCATCACTGACCTCTGCCCCTTGGCTCCCCTGCAGCGCAGAGTCCCACGGCCGCGGACCCCCTGCAGCAGGCCTACGCGGGAGTGCAGCAATATGCAGGTCGTTAGTACCCACGCGTGCCCACTGCTCCCCCAGCCCTGCTCATCCCCACCTAGACCTGGGCCGGGCACTGTAGGGGAGGGAAAGGTGGAGGGAGGGAGGGGGGTGGGGAGCTGAGGTGAAAGGAGGGAGGGCTATACTTCCAGAGGCCCCTGCTTCAGGCTGCCACCCTCTCGCAGGCCCCTAGCATTCCATGGTGCCCTTGGAGAGGTGGGTGGTCAGAACTTCAGGCCAGGTAACCTTGCAGTTATCATCTTTGAGGCCAGATTTCCTTCCCATGGGGCTGCCAAGCCAGTGTGTCTAGTTTATCCAGCACCAAGCCACACAGCAGCATGGGGTGGGGAGGGTGGGGGCTGGGGTGCCTCCCACCGCAGTCCACAGTCCACAGTTGCCGGTCCTGGAAGCTTAGATGCCTGGGTTTGAGAGAAGGAGAGGCCCTGGAGGGAAAGCAGTTCAACCTTCCGTGCTCCCCTCCCCCCCGCCAGGTAGTGGGAGTTGGTGTGAGCAAGGCTGACCAAGCAGGGGAGGATAGGCAGCCAGAGGTAGAAAAAGGAGGGGTAGATGGCCTTGGGTCACTGAATGGGAAGGGGACCAGCCACTATAGAAAGCCCAAGGCAAGCTGTCAGTCATGCTTCTCTCACTCCCACCCCTGGGCCGGGCAGCACGCACACACATGAACACGCACACACACCTGTGTACATACAAACACAAACACGCACACACCTGTGCACACACACACTTCTCATCTTCACTGCACGCTTCTCCTTTGCTCCTCAGCGCCAGCTTTATCTTACGTGGCTGCACTGAAGTGCACTTTTTACTGGTCTGCTTTTACTGCTCAACACTGAAATGTCTCTTCCTTCTTGCCTCTCACCCTGTCTCTCCGTGTCGCTGTCGTCTCGCTGTCGTCGTGTCTTGCTCTCTTGCCTCTTTGGCCCTCCAGCAGCCGCCTACCCTGCTGCCTATGGTCAGATAAGCCAGGCCTTCCCTCAGCCGCCTCCAATGATCCCCCAGCAACAGCGAGAAGGTGAGTCTGCAAGCCGGGCTCCCAGGCCCTTCCCCGTCCCCTTCTCCCCCCAAAGAGGCTGCTCCTGGGTCTTCGGTAGGCGTTTTGTTGGAAAAATGACCATGTTTGTGTGCTGTGTTGAGGTGAGGGAAGAGGGCAGGATTGTGAGACGCGGCGCTCTCCAATGCAGCATGAGGTGGGCTTCTCGGGCAGTTCTGCAAACCCCAGTGGGAAAGGTTAGGAGGGTGGGACCCTGGACGACTTGGGGGCCCAAGAATTCCCCCTCCCCCAGTGGAGAGGAAGGGAAGAAGTAGGGATGCTCACAGCTGGCATGGGGTGGGGGTAGGGAAACCTATTGTCAGAAGTTTTACCCTCTGGGTGACCAGGCGAGCCAGATGGGGATAGGGGCCCAAGTGCGGGCCTCTGGGGAGACGGAGATCCTGGAGAGCCACATCCAGAGGCCCTGGTGTGACCAGGGTGGGCCAGGCAAGGCCAGTGGCCAGGGAGCCTGGGACTCATTAAGACCCAGTGTCCTCCCGTTCCTGAGCTGGAGACCTACAGGAGCTGGATGAACAAGCCCGCCCTCGGGGCCCCATGGCCTGCACAAGCTCAGTTTGACAGGGTAGGAACACTAACAAGGTCCTGTCCTCCCCACCCCCATGAAAAGGTCACCCTGCCAGCGAGGCCACCACTGCCCAGTAGGCCACATGGCCAGGGGGTCCACTGGTGTCCAGTGGCTGGCATGAGCTCTTGCCACACCCACTGCACCAGCACCACTGGCGTGTCTGTCCTAGGACAATCCCCTCTGCCCTCCCCTGAGCAGGGGCTGGGCAGGAGGGGGGCCCACAGCCCCTCCCAGGTCTCCCCACCTCTGCTTCCAGTGAACCGTCCCACAGCCAGGGATAGTTAGCATGTGTGTCTGCGGTCCAAATCCCTTCGGTCAGACAGGCCCTGAACAGGCCTAGAGCTTGAAGGGCTGAGGCCCTCCATCTGCTCCCTGCCCTGCCCCCACCTCACCCTGTGCACCACCCCATGGGTCTAGCTCTGAACGCCTTCTCATACCTTCTCTCCATCTGTGGGCAGCTTCATCCCCACCGTCACGCCCTGTGCGCTACATCAGATCCTGTGTGGTCAGTCGCCACTGCAGCCTCTCCTCTGGCCTAGGGTCTCCCACGACTGTCCCCATTCTCCCTGAATAGGGTGTCCCGGATGAGCGACCCTGGGGAGCAGGGCATGGGAGGGGTGAGATGTGAACCCAGATGCCTACAGAGCCATGTTGTGTACAGGGGAGGGCCCACGGCGCTGGGGGTGGGGTTGTCAGGGAAGGCTTCAGGGCACACAGAGGTAGGGACACAGGCATGCCTGGGGGTGGGTCGGGGGAGGGGGCACAGCAGGAGCAAAGGCATAGGTGTTGCAGAGGGTGAGATGAGCCTGGGGGTGGGGTGATAGGCTGAGGGTGGGTGGAAGCCAGACCGAAGCTGTGTTCAGTGTTACATGAGGCATGGATGGAAAAGAAAGCTGTGTTCCTCCAGCCCCGGCCTCTTCACATCATGGCCGCTTCCCCTTGTGCAATGCCCTGGAAGTACCAGGGCACACTGGTTGCTGGGGAGGACCTTCCTTCCAGTCCTTGTCTTTGAGTTGAGCCTGAAAGCCAGCAGATGCCTGAATCCCCAGACAGGCCACGGTTCCCCTCAGGGTTGGCTCCATCCCCGGCTCTGCCAGGGGTGCTGTGTGGTCAGGGGTTGGCACTTTCTGTCTCTGGAGCTCCATTTCGCCATTTTGCAGAAGGCTGGGCTGGACCAGATTGGTCTCCAAGTCCTGCTGGTTACGCCATCTGGGTGCTCTAGAACCTGTGGATGAGGGAATACAGTGCGAGCTCGGGGCCGCTGGAGTAGGGAAGTGTGTAGGCTCCTTGTTGAGGGGTGAGGGGCAGGGGACTGGTGGGGCTCAGCCACACGCCATGCTGATGGAACGCAATCCACGGGCCTTCCTTCGAAGGCTCCTTGCCTTTTAATGACAACATAACATCCACATAAAGCAGCTTGCAGGACTTGAACTTGGAACATGGGCCCCAAGTTCAAGGCAGGTGTCAGCACTGAGAGGAGAGGGAAGCCCTGAAGAATGGGTCTGGGAGGGGAGAAGGCATGTACTGGGGAACTGCGGTGGGGGTGGAGGGTGGCAAATGCACCTGCCCCTAGAGAGCACCCCATCTGGCTGGAGAGAACCTCCCAGACATGAAGGAGAAAGAGCCTCAGAAGGCCAGCCGAGGATGGAGTGTGGACTCAGGGAGCCCTGGCAGGGGGCGGGGTGGGGAGCATCTGGGTGGGGGTTCTGGAGGAGCTGTGGCTTAGATTAGTCCTTCAAGCTGGTTCCTGCCCCATGGGGACTCACACCTAGCTGGGGACCATCAAGGGACACACAGCATGAGCCAGTGAACACACATGGTGGGAGGGGACGGGCTAGGAGAGGGTCGCCAGAGCTTGGGGGATCCAGCACCGGGACCCCGGTGCACACTTGCACCGGTTCTGAACAGTTCTGAACGCTGTAACCTGGCCGTTTGCCTGGGAAACGGCGGTCCAGGGAAGGGAGTCGGGTGGGAACCAGGGACCCAGGAGGTCAGCAGTTCAGAGGGCGGCTGTGGGAGTCAGAGGAGTCTTTGGAAGGAGGAAGGCGGAAGGTGGGAGGGGAGAGGAAAGGCAGGGAAGGGCAGAGACTCCAGAGCGAGCTCTTTGCTCCAGGACTGGGCTGCCTGGCCTTGCCCTTCCCAGAGAACCGTGGCCATTGGTTCTGGCCGGGAGAGCCACACAGCCCACGTCGGTGCCTTACAGCCTTCACTTTTGAGCTCACGTTAGTTTCCACCAGCTCCCATCAGAACCTCAGCTGGTACACAACTCTGACAAATGCAGCTGTGTCCTTTGCATGTCCTCCATGGGGCGGAAAGCACTGGAATGACCACACTCTGACAGGTTAAGTCACATGTGCCATGCTATGCTTAAGATGGCAGGAAATAGATGAAGTATCAGAGAGATTTCCATTTCAACGAGTTAAAATTGAGCATTTGGGTCATTTAAAAGGAGAAAAGTAAATCTTCAGCTATCTGGAAATTTCAGAAATCCTTCAGAGTTTCTGGGGCATTGAGATTTATGACAGAGAGGTAGAGAGAGGAGAAAGCACAGACTGGAGGCAGATAGCCTGGGTCTATATCCTGGCTCCACCTCCTACTAGCTGTGTGACTTTTGGTAGGTGACTTAACCTCTCTGGGCCTCAGTTTTCTCATCTGTGAAGTGGGGGGGACAAGCTATAGAAGTGGCAGGGCTGTTACTGTAACGAAATGAGGCTCATGGCTAGTCATGGAGCCTGGCTGTGGAGCCCCTCCTGTGCACCTAGCCCACCAGAGGAGGCAGGGTAAATCTTGATTTCTGCCTTTGAGACCAGGGCTGAGTTTGAGAAGGTAGGGCCATTGGGAAGCAGACAGAAAGGAGTGGCTGCAGGCCAGGCTGAGCTCCCACCCCTGGGTGCAGGAGGTGAGACGAAGCTTCCCACCCACTGCACCAGCACCACTGGCGTGCCTGCCCCAGGACAAACCCCTCTGCCCTCCCCTGAGCAGGGGCTGGGCAGGAGGGAGGCCCGCAGCCCCTCCCAGTTCTCCGCACCTCTGCTTCTCCTCAGCACTTGGTTCCCATGCCATCAGGCCTGTGTTCACCCCTTTTACTCCATCCCTTCACCCCTGGAGCCCCAGAGTTGCTAGGCAGGCACCCTGTGATTGATCCATTTTGCAGAAAAGGCAACTGAGGCACAGAGAGGTTCAGTGACTTGCCCACGGGCAGACCAGTGAACAGAGCTCAGACCGTGGGCTCAGCAGCCCCCCTTCTTCTTGGATCTTGGATGAGACCCCCCTTCCTAACCTCGCCCACCCCTCCCTGCTGCCGCTGCCTAACTCGCTCACCTCTCCTCTGTCTCTCTCTTCCCCCACCCCGCCATCCCTCCTCCCCCGCCCCCTCCCCTCACCGCAGGGCCCGAGGGCTGTAACCTGTTCATCTACCATCTGCCCCAGGAGTTTGGGGATGCTGAGCTGATGCAGATGTTCCTCCCTTTCGGTAATGTCATCTCCTCGAAAGTGTTTGTGGATCGGGCGACTAACCAAAGTAAATGCTTTGGTGGGTAAAGATAACAAACCAACTAGCTTCACCTAGGACAGGGCGGTGCTCGCACCAATTTACCGCAACTGCTTTAACCTCCCCTCACACAGCTCCCCACCCCACCAGGTGCCCCCTAGGGCCCAGCCTCCACCCACCTCCTCTCACTCTTCTTCTCTCTTCTACTTTTGGCTTCTTCGCTTTCCCTGCCCACCTCTCCTCCAGCTCCCCATCCTCCCCTTCCCAGTCCAAGAGCTAGGTTCCCCTCCCTGCTTGGAGTCCCAGTTCCCACCCACAGAGAAGGGGGAGGAGCCACCTTGGGCTAGGGTGGGAGGGGGCAGCCAGCAGAGCACGCCACCAACACCCATTTTCTCCCCCCGCGGGCCTCCCCCTCCCCGCAGCCCTTCACCTCTCACCGTCAGAGTGGCCCCTGGATGAAAGCCGAGCCTGATCCTTGGCGGGGCACTGCCTAGCTGAGGACCCACCCGCCTCCCCTTGGCTTCCTCCCGTCCACCTCTCTGTCCCTCCCCCGTCCCCCTTCTCTGTCTACCCTGCTCTTTGCTCCCCTCCTGCCATCCAGTGAACTCTCCTTCCCCCGCCCACCCTCCCAGATCACCAGGCCACACTGTTGAGGAGTCAGGAAGAGGAAAGTGGCCCCTGCCTCAGGAAGCCTCAGGTCTGAGCTTAGATGAAAACCACACCTACTCAACAGCAGTGAACTCTGCAAGGCACCTAGGGATGGAGTGCTGAGAAAGGCAGGTGGATGGCAGTAACGGAAGGGGAGGCAGTTCCAGGCAGGGAGGACGCTGGAGGCTTCGGGGAGAAAGGAGGGTTCAGGGGAGACCATCTGTGAGGGCGGGTCTGTGCTGGGGAGGGCTTGGCCCTTCTGATGAGGCTGCTCCAGGTGGTGTGGTAGGCAGTGGGAGATGGTGGTAGGTCCTTGAGCCGAAAGTAATAGAAAGAAGATACAGCTTTCAGGAAAGTTGCCTGGCGGCAGGGTGTTAGGTGGAGGAGGGAGGACTGGGCAGGATCTTGGAGTCTGGTTGTCGGGTAAAATATAGGGTGCCCAGTTATATTGGAATTTCAGATAAACAATGGATGCATTTTTTAGTATAAGTATGTCCCAAATGTTACCTTCAATGTGGCCCATGCAATATTTGAGATATATGTATGCTAAACAAGTGTTCACTGTTTATCTGAAAGTCCAACTCAACTGGGCATCCTGTGTTTTGATTGGCTTCAGACATGAAGTCCCACTTCATCCTCACACCTCTCCCCTCCCCTCCTCCTCTCCCACCTACATCAGCCCTTCCTCTGGGGCCAGAGCCACTCAATGGTTCACCAAGGACTGAGGAGTCCAGCCCCCAGAGAGCCCAGGTCGTAGCTGGGGGCGGGGGTGGTGGAGGGAGAAGGTCTGAGTATAGAAGCATCAGGAAGAGCATGTTAAGGAAATTCCAGTTTGGAGACCAACTTGCCAGAACCACGACGGGCCTGAGGTTTAGGGCGCGTGCTCCAGGCAGTCAGGATCTGGGCTCCACTGTCCCCGCCCCTGGAGCCTGTGGTACTTCAGTGCACAGAGCTGCCTTCGCAGCTCATTTCTCTCTGGGCGTTGGGAAAGCTAAGCCAGAGAGAAAGGCAGGGCTGCTTCTCTCCACCGCGTGACAGGGTTGCTTCTGACGCATTACTGTCATGTGTGTAAGAACCCGAGAGCCTCACCTTTGCCCTGTAGTTGGCCTCAGGCGTTGCATGGACCCTAGAACACTGCCAGGAGCCCACAGAGTGCTGGCACCGGGATGGAGCTGCTTGGTCTCCAGCCAAACCCTTGGTCATTTGCTCCGTCTCTGGCTGTCCCTGACGTCCATCCGAGCAACCCAGCTTTTCCAAGGACTTCCTTAGTCTGCCCAACCACTCCCCTGGCCATTAGCCATTTAAATTCTCCAGGACCAAGGGTTTTCCCCCTGCTTTTTAAAAAATCTTCTGAATACCTCTGCTCTGGCTCTCTCCTCTCTTCCTGAGTGAGCCTCCAGCACTAACATCTTCCACCGCCTGAAAAAGGACAGTCTCCCGCCAGGCCTGCCAGGGCTCCGGTTCACACGCGAGCCTTCTGCCAGGCTCTCGGAGGCCTTTTGTGTGAGCACCAGCCCGGGCACTCACTCAGGGGCAGTCAGCGGCAGTGTCCTCATGTGTGAAATAGGACTCCAGCAGTCAGCCCTCCGGGAGGCTCTGAGGTTACATGGGATGGTGTGTGTGAGGGGCACGGCCAGAGAGGACCCTCAAGAAGTGCTAGATCTCTCTCTGTTCCCCCAAAGAGGGGGCCATTTTGTTGTAAATGTGGTCCTATGTGAAGTGAACCCTTCAAATGCCCCCCTTGCATTTTATAAGCAATAAACAGAATCTTCCAGAGGCTTTTTTTGGTGAGCAATGGGCAGCGCACATGGTTGCTAAGTCGAAAGAAGGGCCTGGGGGAGAGGGGCACCAAGGTCTGGGAGGCAGGAACTTTCTTGGGGGGAGGGGGAGGGTGTGGGAAGGGACTCGGAGAGAAGGAAGGCAGTAACCCTGGGAGATGGTGCCCAGAGCCCTGCCAGTGGGGGACGAGCTCCCTTCCCAGGCTGCTGGCCAGTTAACAAAATTAGTTGAGGAAGAAAAGTTCCCTCGAGCCTGGTGTCCTCCCCAACCCTGGGGCTTCTGGAGACGCCAGAGTCTCCCACAAAAACTAAGCTTTCCTCCTGCAGGGCCCCACTGCCCCTTCTCCCCGCTCCGTGGCTGTCCCTCCCTTCACACCACAGCCCTCCAGCCCCTTTTATCTCTCTCAGCCACCAGTGCAGGTGGCCAGGTAGAGCCAGAGCTGGTGGTGCTGGGGGCTCAGCAGAGGAGGGAGGGGTGTAGCTGTCACCCACAGCGAGGCTCTCTTGTCCCCACAGGTAGAGAGGCTTTGGTAGTCGTAGTCCGTAGTCGTAGTCCGGGGAGAGCAGTGTAACAGACACACAATTCACACATCTGCTCTGCTAACAACTAGACCAGCCTTCAGACATCTAGGTGGGTGGGGAGGGGATGGGTCCTGAGGGGATGAGAGGAGAAGGTGGAAGGATTATTCACACTAATCTTCAACTATGGATAATCCCAAATCTCTCCTATCTACTCTGGCATATATATTTTTGCAGACGTTGGTTGTGTTGTGTTTCGTTTGCGTTGGGACCGGCTCTAACCAGTTCCATCTGAGCTCACATGCCCCTGCGGGTGAGAGCACTCACTTGCTCCCACATACACCCTCCCCATCTTCCATGGTACTTGGCTGCAAGAGCAGATGTGAACAAACACAGGAAGTGTCTGGGGCAAGGGAAAAAGGGCAAAACAGCCACTACCAGGAGAGCGAGGGGGGGACCACAGGCAGGTGGGAGGAACCAGGGACAATTAACCAAGAAGGCAGCTTCTGCTTCAGTGTGTCTGTACAGCTACCCATTATGTCTCATACTATTTGGGGACAAGCCCCCAAATGAAGCAGGTTTGCAGGATGGCCTGGGAACTTCACCACGCTTAGTTTTCATACATTTTGTAGGGAGATTTTATAGGAGAAAAGGCCTCTAAGTCAAATTCCAGGAAATGCTAGGTTAAACAGAGAGATAAAGGTTTACTTATTGGAGAATTTGGGGTGGGAGGGGAGGCTTTTATTTGTTAATGAGCCTTGAACTGCCCCAGAGGGGCCTGGCTGTACAGCTAGGAGGCCACAGAAAGCCCCCTTTCAAGGAGGCCTGTTAGGGCCGTTCTGGGAAATGCTGATGTAACTCGCAGTAGATGCACTCAAAGTTGCAAAAAGGTGACTTCTAACTGGACTTTGGAACCTGATCCATCTGAGAACTTGGTGTTTCAGAAGGTGACTGGGAGCCATGGATGGTTCTATACCTTGTCCTGGGATGTTGGGGGGCGGGCGGGGGGGAAGAAGGGGTAAAAGCACTTCTGCAGGCTCTCCATTGATTTTTGCTGAGAGTGTTAATTTGTACTGTTATTGTTATAATACTGTTATTATTGTTATGGGGGGTTCATAGGGGACACATCAGCTGCTTAGTCCAGGCCAAGAGCACTTGCTCTCGGGGCTTGGAATTTTACAAAATGAAAGGGAGATGCCCGCAGCCCCTGGGACGAGGTGGTGGGTTCATGGAAGAGGGTCTGGACTGAACCCCGGTGTCCACCAGGAGCCCGGCCAGGCCCGGGAGGGGGTGGAGGGGCCGCGAGGACTGCCAGCCTCTGCCCTCCCCTGTGGCCGGGCGGCACTCGCGAAGGGGGTGGCCCCAAACGGCGGCCGAGTTTTCTCCGTGGTGCCTCCCTCCCTCCCCCTCGCACTCCTCTCTCTCCCCAGGCCGGCACCCTGTGCCCTCCCGCTGCCAGGCCCCCTCCTGTCAGGGAGGACAGTGTCCAATAAACTCCTCCGCCCGCAGGTGTGTCCGCCTCTCCCGCCGCAGGAGAGGGCCGAGGTGCGGGGCCGGCCGGGGTGGGGGGCGGGCGCCTGTCCGAGCCCCGCTGCGCCGCGGCTCCTCGCTCGTGGGAGAGGGCGCCGCCCATAGCCGAGGTGGAGCCGGGGAGACCCTGCCAGGCCCCGCTGGTTGGCGAGGCCCGGAGCCTCGGAAGCGCCCACCCCGGGAGGGACCACGGGCTCGCGGGCTGGAGGGGGGTGAGGCCGGCCCGGGCGGGGCCCAGGGGGAGGAGCCTCGTGCCCCGCCCCGGCCCAAGGGGGAGCCTCTAGCCCCGCCCCTGTCCGGAGGGGGAGGAGGCGCTAGCCCCGTCCTTGTCCAGAGGGGTGGGGCCTCTAGCCCCGCCCCTTACCCCGAAGGGAGGAGCCTCTAGCCCCGCCCCTTGCCTGGAGGGGGAGGAGACTATCGCGGGACGGGAGTGCAGGGAGGGGCCGCCATCGGCCCGCCCGCCCCGCCCCGCCCTCGCCCGGACTTCTCCCCACCGACCCCTCCGGCCCGGGCGGCCCAGTGGAAACCCAGGCCCTCGTCCCTCGTGTCTCGCCAGGCTTCGTGAGTTTCGACAACCCGGCCAGCGCGCAGACCGCCATCCAGGCCATGAACGGCTTCCAGATCGGCATGAAGAGGCTCAAGGTGCAGCTGAAGCGGCCCAAAGACGCCAATCGCCCGTACTGAGCGCCGGCGGGAGCGTCCCCCGGGGGAGACCAGGACTCGCACAGGTAACCCGGGACCGCCGGGGCGCGGGGTCGGGGGGGTTCGGGAGGGAACACCGGACGGACCCGCCGCCTCCCCGACCTCCGTGGCCTGGACCCGCTGCGCCCGTCTGGACCTGCTCCTTGCTCGGCTCCTAGGGGCCAGGCGCAGAGCAGTGGTCACCCCGAGAAACAGTCATGGCCATCCCCCTGACGCAGAGCCAACGGAGCAGAGTGAGGGGACCGTTCTGAGAAGTGGGGGGGCCCTGGGCCTGCGCCCCTGTTTGCCACATGGCACGCTCAGGGCTGGGAGCGTTTGGGGCGCAGAGTAGGTCCTGTGGGGAGCTGTAGCCCTCTGTGGCGCCTCCCTGGCTCCCCCTCCCCCAGCTCTCCTGCCTGGACACTTGATCCCCTCCCCGCTCCAATTCCCCATAGCTCAGCCTGGAGAAGAGGAACAGGACTTTTCAAAGGGAACTTTACAAAACCGGAGAGGACAGAAGCTGAGGATAGTGATGCTGTACCCGGGGCCATTTCCCTGCCTGCTGTACGAGGCCAGGATGGGTGGGCAGTCGTCACCCTTTCTGCTCAGTCTGGGTCCTGCCTTGAGCTGGAGACACCGTGGGCCACTCCTCTAATGGGCCACCTGTGTCCCTGAGTGAAGCGGCTGCCTGGGAAAGTGGGGAGGGAGGAGCTATGCCAGGACATCCAGAGTCCCCCCTTCAGCCTGCTTGCCCATGGCTGTGAGCTCCTGCAGGGTCCGCGCACTTCTCAGGCTAGAGACAGGCTGTGCAGCCCGCTTCCCCCCATCCCTTTGGCAGTGCTGTGCCCCCAGTGAGACCGGCAAGAGTCCTGTCCGAAGCAGGGGAGAGAGACAATAAACAATGACGTATGATCAGAGTAAATTCCATAGTGCCTCAGAATTGTTGGCCACGGTTAAATCAGGTAGTCAGGGTAGGCCATCTACCAGAGAGAGTGACATTCAAGTGGAGATTCCAAAAAAGGGAGGCAGGGTCTGAAGGAGTTTCTCCAGGAATCTAAGAGGAAGAAAACAGAGACAGGAAGAATGGACGAAATTGTGGGCAAGGCCAGGTCTACAGCCAGAACCTCAAGTCCCTGTCCCACTAAGTTCACAATAGGAGCTGGGCCCCAAGCTAAGGTGGTTCTGGGTTGGAGGACACTGAGCATCATGTCTGACTCCAGTGGGAGTCCTGTCCCTCCTGCATCCTGGGCTCCTGCACAGGGTCTGCTCTGAGTGTTGGGACACGGGTGCTTTAGGTCTGGCTTGCATGGGGCTGGCCTTCCCTGGCTAGAGCCCCGCTGTGCTTAGGGCCAGCATCCAAATGGCTGTGGCCTGGCCATCATTTCCTCACCCCAGTCATGAGCTGGAGCCTCCCTGGCCTGATTCAAGCTCCCCCATGCTGGCCAGTGACCCTGTGCAGCCACAGGGCTGCGCTCTCAGAGGCTCTTCAGGAGGGCACCCGGGAAGTCCCCCAGCAGGCAGACAGCCTGTTCCCTGGTGAAGAGAGCAGTTGGCCCCTTAGGGATTGAATGGGTGTGTGTCTGTGTGTCGGGGCCAAGCGTGTGTGAGATGCAAGTGTATGAGAAAGTTCCCTGGATTGAGCTTTAAGGAGGAGGGTCTGTGTGACATGCAGGTTTGGATCCCCAGCACCTAGGACAGTGCCAGGCACTGAAGGGCAGTTGGAGGAAAGCTGGGGGCAGGAGCAGAGCGGAGTCTGAGGAGTGGATACCTTTCAGTGCTCAGGACCAGGGGGTAGGGGGAAAGAGAGGTCTCCAGGGGACCCCTTAGTTGTTCTTGCATAGCCCACACCTGATGGCTGCCCTCCTCCATTCTGAGGCCTCTCCTCCCACCCAAAGGGACCTGCCAGTTAGATATCCTGGGTGGGTCTCAGGGCTGTCTTCCGGAAGGGGGTGGTATTGCAGGGAGGGTGGCATGTCCGGACTTGGAGGTTATGCAATGGGCCGTGGTCTATGTGAGCAAGAATCCAGGTTGGCAGGGGCTTGGATGGAAGAGGGGCTGGGAGTTGTTCTGTGAAGGCAGAGCTGGAGCTGGGTTTGGGCTTAAAATAGTCACCTCTCAGCTGCTTTGCAGCTTGTCCACACTGACATTTCACGATCCCAAGCTTCTCTTCCGCCTTCCCTTGAAGGAAAACAAAGCTGAAAGTGGAAGTCAGCTGGGCTGCGTGTAGAAGCCTGGTGGGTGGGGAACCCTGCAGATAAACCTGATGCTTGAGTACCAAAGGGGAGGGGGCTGGGGAGCAAGGTCAAGGGTAACCATGACAAGGGATAGAACTGGGGACCCCACCCTGGGCCAGCATCCCTGGGTGGGGGCAAAGGACCGTGAAATGGTGAGGAAACAACTCAAAGTGAAGAGAAGGGAATCCAGTCTCAGCCACCTAGGGCTCTGCCCGTAAAGAAGGCAGGTCAGGGCTGTGCGATGGTCAGCCAGCAAGGTTGTACAGGGAGGGCTGAGGTTGTAAAGGGATGGAGAAGGAGGAGGGGGATTAGGGGAGGTCAGCAGAGCGAAAGTGACAGCAGCAGAGAGAGAGATCTGGGGCCACAGCACTCCCTTTCTGGGGGACTGTCCTTGTATCACCTGCCCTTCAGGGCGCCCTGCAGTCTTCCGCCCAGCCTTATCCTGCTGCAGCTGCAGAGCCTCCTAAAGGCTCCCTGTGCCCAGAGCAGCCTCCCTTTGGCCACATGGGCCTCCCAGGGAGCAAAGCTCAGGGTGAGAGGTGATCGGGACATGATTAGTGCCAGGGCATGTGTATAGATTTCTAGGAACGTTGATGTGATTTCCTCTAAACTCAGGGTATTCCTGTTCTGAGGAAAGAGGGTTGAGGCAGAGCGGAAGGGGACAGGATTATAACATCATGCAGTGGGTTCGCTTGTAGTGGAGGCTCCCTTCCCTGGGGACGGTGGCCCAGGTGGGACCCGAAGGGTGGGAGGGCCGAGTTGCTGCCAGTGTGGACTGTACTGTGGCAGCAAAGTATCTCATGGATGGACCTCATGGGTCCAACAGCCACCTTAGCCAGCCTCTGACCTACCTGGCCATCAGGTCACCTGATAGGCTCCCCCTGCTGGTCCACAGGCTGAAGCCACAGGAGGCTGGGGAGGTGAGGAGAGCCCGGCACCTGGGGGAGAGAGAAAGAATCAAGGGTGATAGAAAGCAGAAACGTGCTGCCGAGCTGCTTGCCAGCCAAGGTGGTTTTAAGGGGCTGTTTTATTTTTTTCTGGCCCCCTCGCCAAACTGCCCCCGCCCCCACCCCCCTTCCCAACGCATGATGGATGCCCTCAGTGGCCCTGTGTGAGGTCCTGCTGCTGTTCACAGTGTCCCATGTGTCTGCACAAACAACCGTGCGTGTATGTGTGTGTGTTGATGTGCCCATGTCGTCCGTCTGCCGCTTCCTCCATCCTTTGAGTTCTTTTCGGTTCTCTTATGATTTGACTGCTGTTCTCTCATCTGAGCTGTTAGATTGACGCTGTGGTCTGGTGCTGTATAAATATTTTTCCTTTTAATTTTGTTTTAACTTCTTCCTTGCCCTCCTTCACCCTCCACCCAACTCTCCCCGCCCTCCCACACTCCCCCTACCCCACCCGCCCTGCCCCACTTCTTCCTTCCCCCTTACCCACACTCTTGTCCTCTCTCTCTCTCTCCATATATAAATATATATATATAAATCTTTTCTTCTTTTGTCATTCAATCAAATTCCAACAACCCAACCAGAGCCAGTCAAATCCACCACAGTCTCGCGCTGAGCTAGGAATAAAGTTCACGTAATCACATGAGAGTGGAGAAAACAGTCCCCCATCCGTAAGTTCAAATCAACTCAAAGTTCACAGTGTGACATGATGGCGTCATGTAACAAGGCTAAGAATCGGTTGCATGACAATTGCCGTCAAGTTTCGTGGAGGTGCTGTGATTGGAGCGTTTTTCTTGGATGTTGTATCAGTTGATGATTGGCCAGTCATGATCACACGTGCATTCTCTTGACTTTTGTGCTGCCACGATCTTTTTTGCTGTGCTCATTTTTGTTTTGTTCTTGGTGCTTGCAGTGGTTTTACTTTCTGTTGTTTGGTTTTTCTTGTTCAGCGTTTTTTATGCTTCTCTAGATGTCACATAGAGAAAAAAACAAAACAAAAGCACAAAAAATTAGTAAAAATAAAGATGAATTCCTGAATTATTGAACATGGGATCATTTAACTGTGCAAACCATTATCTTTTTCTTAAAAAAAAAAAATAAGGAAAACATCTTAAAAATATGCGTGGTTGATTTACTTGCACTTGAAAATATTGTGATTTTATTTTTTTCTAGAAATTTGGGGGCCTTTTTCAATTGACACTTTCCCTGGGTCTGGTCTTTTTCCAGTTAGGCCATTTTAAATCTCACTTCAAAAGGAAAACCAAAAAAAAAAAAAAAAAAAAAAAAAATCTCTATAGTAACAGAATGATAAAAAAAAAAAAAAAATTCTAAACCAAAAACCTAGAGTACAAAGCCAGAGGCCTCTGAGAGAGAGCCTGTTAACAATTGTAAGGTTTGTATTTTAGCCACTTCTGCTAAATTAAATGTGGGCAGGGGACCCGGGGGCCTGGGGTGTCGGGAGGGCTTTTTGGTTGGTTTTGAAAAAGCAAAATGCACCTTTTTGTTTACAACTGAAAAAGGGTCCTTGACAAGTGTTTTTTAATTTTATTATTATTTTATTTGGTGTTGTAATTGTTTAGACTGCTGTGTACGGTTTGCTGTTTGTTGAATCAACAGTGTGAAAACCTGCCAGCATGGATTGATATACGCATGACGTGGGCCCCTCCACCTGGGGCTTTGCAGTTCTAACTCTCTTGGTGTAACCAGTCACCCCCATGTATAAGTGGAAGCTGCTTGCTAGAATGGAGATGAGTCTCATTTGTTAATTCACAGTGATTAAGCATTCTCCTTCTGATTCTAGTCAGATCATGATTTTTTTCTTAAAAGCAAAACAAAACGCCAAAAAGCCACCATTCAAAACGAAATCAAGAACTGAGTTATGTTTGATGATTAAATCCGTTCTAACTTCTTTTAGGTTCTCCCATCCACCCCTTGAAGATCTGAATTTCCTCTAAATTCCCTGGCATGTATGAGAAAAACATTAAGTGTGTGTATATGTGTGTATCTATGCATATACATACACACATATTCATGTATATCCACATATGTGCAGGTGAATATATTCTACACATATATCCAGATATACATATATATATACACGTAGCCTCGCAAATAGTTACTGACCTTGGGAAAGGAGTGGTTGGTGGAAACTGGGCAAGGATTCAGCAAAATTCATGTCATGGATCTTTCTGCCTTTTCCTCAAGTCGGGGAGGAGTGGGGCTGGGCTGCTAGATTGTGCTATCTTGTTTGCTAGGCTTCTGTATACATATTGTATCTGGGATAGGTCCCTCAGAGATCAGTTTAATTATGAATTCATATCCCACAGTCCCAAATTCATCCCTTAGACTGAGCCCTCCCCCAATCTAGAACTCTGAAGGAACCTGAATCAAGACCCCTTCCCACAACCTTCACGACTAGACCTCTCAGTGGTTTCTTGCTCTGAAGAGAAGAGTCAATTTCTTCTTTATGTATCATGATCATGACTAATTCTCATCCTGGTCCTTCCCTCCCTCCTGCCACCCCCAGAACCCCCCTCACCCCCCCCGCCCCAGGCAGGCTCCTTTTGGTGTTTGGATGCATTTTGTGTTTCCTCTCTTTGCTTAATCAGCCCTGATTTTCTTCATTTTAGGGCAGGATGCTGAACGGGCTACATTAAAAAACAAACCTCTCTCTCTCTCTATTTATAAATGAGAACTGTTGGATGACACCTTTGACATATCAGCCAATACCAAGCAAGCTGAGGACTCCAGACACTCTGTGACTGTAACATTTCTTCAAGGGAAGTATAGCGTCTATGGAGTTCAGAGGGCACGTGTTTGGGGAAAATACATATGACATAAAGAAGAAGAAGAAGAAGAAAAATTGAGAAAAAAAACATACAAAAAAGGCAACTTTTAAAACAAAATAACTTGAGACCAGATGGGGAGGCTGAAGGGCTGGGAACTGGAAAGAGACGCTGCGCTGCTTACCGATCCCCGGGGCTTTCCAGCCCGTGGGCGCCTGCGGCAGGCTGGGGCGAGCGGTGTGCGGGGCCTGGTCCCCAGGGGCGGCTGGGAGGCCGCCGGAGCATCTCTATCTGTCATTCCTTTAGCTATTTAGGGACCAAAGGACCAAACTTTTTATTGCAGATGTGTAGCTCTATGTCAAACACAGGGGGAACGGAGGAGCACCTCCTTCCTGCCTCCTGGCTGTTCTCGAAACAGCTTAGAGCGATTCTATGAAAAATGTAAGAAAAAAGTAAAAAAAAAACACAAAAAACACAAAAACACAAAAAAAGGAAAAATAATGCTTAAATGCTTTTAAAACAGCAAGATAATAGTTCTTTGATACTTCGAGAGGCGCTTTGATTACCCTCATTCAAGTCTTAGACACTTTCCTATGGTTTTCTGTATTATATGTCTGGATGGAGCTGTTAAGAGGAACAAATTGGTGGGTATTTGGGGAAAGCAGCAAAAATATTAAAGCTCCTTAACTGTAAAGTGTGAGAAAACGAGGGGAAAAAAGGGACTCACAAGGCAAGAGAATTGTTGTGAAAAGTCTGTAAATGCTTCTAACTCTTCCCCCTCTTACAAACATAATAGTTGTACAGAATTTTAAAAAGGAGAAGTTTAAAATACCTATATAATAGAAGAAAAATTAGAGGAAAGCAAAAAATAAAAAAATAATAAAAAAGGAAAAAAAAAACTTATAGAAGTTAGCATTACTGCTAAAATCCCAGATGTTGTAGGACTGTACTTTTGTAGAGTTTAGACTGAGCATCAATCCCTTCTCCCCGCGAGTGAGTGCTGTCCGATGGCGACACCATTGACCCCGAGGGCCAGGCCGATGGCCCAGACCTGCGGGCTCCTGGCTGCCCACCGCCTGGAGGCCGCGCCAGGGCAGGAAGGCCCAGCCGCCCTCACCTCGCTTCGCCGGAGCTGTGCGCTCGTCGCTCTCCGAAAGCCCTGGACCTTCGCTTCACTCGCCTTCCATGCTTGCTCCAGAGACTTCCGGGCAAGGGGACCTGGGAACTTTCATCTTAAAACAACTAAACAACACACACACACACACACACACACACACACACACACACACAAAACCTTAAACAAGAGAGAGAAAAAAAAACAATCTTTGAAGAATTTCTGAAACTGTTTACAAGGAATTTTGAAAAACAGGGATGTTTAAATGATGCCGGCTCTGTTTTTCTGTAAATAAATTTGCATATTTTGTAGGACTTTTAATTGTAATGATAGAGAAAAAAACAAGGAAAACTATTTAATGAAAGCACGATATTTATCTTTGGTAAATGACTTTAGAGCAGTTAAAAAAAGACATTGCTTAAAAAAAACTCAGAATCAGAAAAGCGCTGATTTATTTAAGAACGCGTATATTTTAAAGGATAACATATTTATTATAATTTATTTGCGCCATTGGGAAGACTTGCTTTGGTATTTGCCCTGTTACCCTCCTCACTGACGTCAGGTCAGCGTGAGGCCAGGGGGCGTGTGGACCTACCATGTTTTTCCTGTTTTGTTTTAGCTGGTTCCTCTCGGACCTCCTGCCTTTCCTTTCTTTCTATTTTGTTGGTTATTTATTATTTTTAAACTTTTCTTTTTCTTTCTCTTGGCTCCTCCTTTTAGGATGTCCAGATGTTGTAAACAAAACAAAACAAAACCGCTGCAGTTCAGTACAACTGCTCTTTTCACACTCAACTCCCTAAAACTCCTTGTAACCTTCTGTAACTATTGGATGACGCTTTCTCCAGCTTAGCCCTAAATAAAGCACAGTTTAAAAAAAAAAACAAAACAAAAAAACACAAGGCTCTTTTTCAGTCTGTGCTTCTCAGAGTCTGGCCAGCTGTGCCTCGGCCCAAGGGGCCTGGGCTGCGAAGCAGGTCAGCCGAGTTCTCCGTTCCAGGCATGGTTGACCGAGAGGAGGATGAAAACACGGGCCGCGATGTGACTGTGTCAGTTCCAGAAAAGAAACCCTCTGTATAAAAACCACACACCAAGTAACTAATGTATGCCCAGCACATGTGAGAGGGAATACAACTCATTAACCTCGGGGGGATTCAGGATTCCTGGAAAACTATCAAGTCAGTTTGCACACGATCACGGAGCGATCGGGGACCCTGCAGCTCATCCATCACCCCTGGTTAAGAACCCCTGGTTTGCAGTGTTAAGAAAACCCAAGCCACAGTCCTCATTAATTTCTGCTTACGCTCTATGGCTCACCTTCCTCTGCCATTATTCTAAACCTTTCATCTCAAACTTAATGAAAAGGGGATACTTGCATAAGGCACTCCCATGACCCACCACGTCCTTCGGAAGCAATCCCAGCCGCGGGGCCATTTCCGGAGGAGGTACTCCAGTTCCCTCATGCTTCCCAGGCTGCACAGTGCCCAAGGGCTGGCTCCGGCTTGTTGGGCAGCTGTGCCCCCTGCACAGCATGGGGGGAGCTGTGGCCTCCCCCAGCCTTACCCAAGGGCAGCCCCAGGCCTCCCTCCAGCCTGTTCCAGGCGGCACTTTCAAAGGCCTTTCTGCTTTTCATCTACCCACTTTGTACTCTTATCTTCTCTCACACGTTCTCTCCCTTTTCTCCTTTCTGTGTGATGCTCACCCGAAAAGTGTGTACTGAGACCTTTCAGTTCACAGCTCCCCTCTCTTTTCCTGTTCTGAGCTGGATCCCACCTGCACACAGCACCAATAGAGCGAGACACATGTCCCAGGGCTTCCCCACCCACAAGAGTGACCCAAGCCCTCGTGGGCAAACCTGAAGCTCCCCCTGGCATAGGAGTGCAGGGCCAGTGGGGGACTTACCCCTGGGTTGAACCCAAATGAGCATTCTCACCCTGTGAGGCAGATAGGGACATCTGGGCAGTGAGCTCGGGGCCCCACCCCGCCCAAGGTGACAGTATCAGACTTGTGGATGCCATTCCATCTCCCCAAATGGAATCTGCCCCAGATAAACACTCTGAGCCCCCACTGATGCCCCACCTTCGGCAGACCATGCTCCTGGCACTCAGATCCCAGTCCCTGTTGACTCATGCTGCCTGAGGGTTAAGGAAGGAAAGAACTAACCAGATACCTGAGGCAGGTTCCGGAAGTGGGTCTTCAGCAAGTGCTTTGTAAGCAATAATAGGACTTGGATAAGTGCTTACCTGCCTGTCTCTACTGCCCTCCCTCTGCTTACCTGCCCTCTGCCCCACACAGTCTGGTCTTCAACACCACCAGATGCTCCGAGGCCTGGCTCCTGGTGGTGGTTGGGGGGGGGGGGGGGAGGGCAGCGCAGGGAGACTGGACAGCCAGCACTAGCACCCCAGTTCCATCCCTGTCTCCCCAGCTTCACTTCCCTCATGCCAGCCTATCTCTTCAGCGAACCTCTTGCACCCTCCATGAAGGTCTAACCAGGATTTGCCCAGACCAGGAGGAGGGTGGAGACTAGTGCATCAGAGTGAAAAGGGCATGGGCTTTGACGTCAAACTGGGATGCAAATCCTAGGGCTCTCAAATACCTTCAGTGTTACTTTGGAAAAGTCACTTAGCCTCTCTGAGCCTCAATTTCCTTATCTCTACAATTGGGATAATAATACGTACACGCATGCCCCCAAGAGTTGTGAGGAATAAATAAGATGCAGCCACACACAGCCACATCCCACCCCAAGGATTCCGAGCTATATATTCCTGTATAGTACAGACACTCTGAGTGAATAGTTCAACCCCTGATCCCTCCTCCTTCCTTGGTTCCATTCCATTGACAATTCACGTTCCAACTGGAACAAGCTCGAACTTGACACCAGACCACTTTAAGTCGTTTTCTCCCAAGTCCAGTCAGCCTGTGATGCCCAGAGAATGCCTGTCATGCGGAGCTGCACACCCGTCTCTCACCGCTCACGCTCTTTTCCAGGGGCCCCAGTGAGCTGATGCCCCTGTGCCCCCTCCTCTCACTTCACCCCTTCTTTTTCCCAGGAGTATTCCCAACACCACTGTCTGCAGCCATCCTCCTCCCGGTTCATATGGCCTCGGACTGCATATTGATTTGGTCTTTGCATTTTAAAAATGTTATCTATGTTTTGAATAGGTAACATATTCATATATTTCAAAATTCAAAAACTATGATAAAGTGTACCATGAACACTCCTCTCCCAGCCCTGAACCCAGCCACCCACTCCGGGTGTGATCCACTGTCGGTGTTGACCCTGGGCTTCAGTGTGCAGATGCGCAGACAGGGGTGTAAGGAACTCTGCTATCAACCTCTTTCAATAGGGAGACCCAGCACCAGGCAGTGATGTGCCAGGCTCCCACCACTTCCCCAGGGAGTCCCAGAGCTAAGCCCAGGCCTGGGGCTGCCAGGACCCCACTGGATGAGTAGAGGAATCACCCTCCAGTCACACTCCCCTCAGGGGGGCTCTTCTCTTTGAGGCATGGGTGTAGCTGTCATTTAGGGGGTGCTTGCTCTGGGCTAGACACTGCTAAGAGCGACCTGATGATAATCTCATCTAATTCTCTGAGGTAGGTGTCATCTTATTTTTCTGGCAAGGCAACAGCTCAGAGAGGTTAAGTTCTTGCCGAGATGACCCAGGTCAGGTTCAAGGCCAGGTCTGTCTGCATCTTGTCTCCCGTGGTTATAAACTTTCCCACAGCTGCTCTCCGCCAATCCTCCTCCGTCTCCATGTCCCTTCCCTCCTCCATCTCAACAGTTTTTCTTAACAGTTCCAATTTTACCTTTAAGAAATGGCACCAGCTATACTGACTCAGGCACTAGTCCTTTTCTTCCCTTCTTTCCTTGATTTTCTGGGTTGGAACTGAACTACCTAAAGGTGAGTGAGAAGTTACAAATGTGCTGCTAATGAGTTCAGGGTTCTCCCTGCCTGGGAGCACCGCTGGCCATGGGGACAGAGGGAGCATGGAAGGAGAGACACAACCCAAAGACCCACACAGCTCCTATTAGTGAGGAGGGGGGATTCAATGGAAATAAATGTAATACTTATTAACATTTTATGCAGCTACTGGAAGTTCAAGAACCCCCTGAGCTGTGTCAGCTCTTTTCCCCAGCACACTAAACTCTGGAGAAAACCGTAAGCTAATTCTTAAGATCCGTGCCAACTGGTTCTCCATCACTCAAATCAAGGGGCAATTTTAATCATTTCTGAAGGTCCTGTCCTCCTCCAAGTGAGGTGTGGAGGTTCCTCTGTCCCGGAGTCTTCTGGAATCATCTTTGCCATCGCCCCTCTCTCCCTGCCTGCTCCTGGGGCCCAGCTAACGGGGCAGGGGCCGTGGGCTGGCAGGAATCCAGTGGGCCCAGGTGCTGCCAACCTTGTATCCCTTCCACTCTTCCTTTGGGGTCCAAAGAAGGACTTCAGAGCAAGGCAACTGAGGTTCATTTTCATCCTGCATGACCAGCAGGGCATGGGCTCCATGGACAGCCCCCCGGAACTAACATGAGGGCACTATCCAACACATCTGCCCCCTGCCCTCCAGTCCTGCTCAGGGCCTTGGATCCCACTGTTGGGGCTTTTTCTTTGGGTTAGACTTGGGCCTCACTTAGTTCTGCTGCTTTTTAATGAAAATTACCTTGGGATAGGGGGTATAGGTGTTCCCTAACCTGCTCAACCAGAATGTAGAGTGCACGGACGAAGGGTCCTGTGCAAAGGCCTGGGCTGGAGTGATGAAGACAGTGCACGAGCCAGTGCATTATGGGTATTATCTCTAGTCCTAGAAGTAATCCTGCAGGAGCATTACTTTATAGAAGAACAATCAGAGACCTGGGATGGTAAGTAACTTGCCCGCAATCACATTGCAAGAAAGTATTAAAGCCCAGATTAAAAGTCAGCTGTGCCCATTCCCCATCTGAAGTACCCCTTTTACAGAATTGTACACCTGAAACCTACATAATTTTATCAACCGAGGTCACTGTCACCCCAATACATTCAATAAAAAAAAGAATTTCGCTGACATCAAAGCAAAAGACCACCGCAGGCTCACGTGATAGAACTGGGCGGGCCCAGGAAAGCCCGAGAGGGAGGCAAGTAGCCCAGACTGGGGAGGGAGGAGGAGACACCTGGGCGAGTATTAAAGGGCGTCCGGGCTACATGGATCCCAAGGGAGGGGGCATGGAGGAAGAAAGGACCCCAG